CTCCCTTCCCTTTCTCATGAACAACGCTTAATTCACCCACATCACTTATTTTCCAAAGCCATGGTTCACCTGCTGAGGGTGGTGTCCCTTTTAAAGGTAGCTGGGTGTCTTGGAGAGAAAGGAAAGGGTTTGGATGCATTTCCAGTGAGAAACTCTGAGCAAGTGTCTCTGTGAATTAGATCTGTGATTTGGGGCATGAGTTTCTTAACCTTTTGGGACCTTAGTTTCCTCACCTGTAAAATGAAGATAGTAATAACATCTATCTCCTGTGATTGATGGAAGGCTTAATCCCTGTGTAATTACTCAAGTGCTAGTTGTATACATTGTTAAAACAAATGATGGTCTTTAGAAGGACGTTATATATATTTTCCCTAGTAATAGGGAAGATATATAGTATTTTCCCAATTACCATATAACTAGAAAATATTGTAAAATATATAGTATTTTCTAGTTATATAGTAATTTCCTAGAATTGGAAGATTGGAATCATCTTATCCCAGCAGCTTTCCCATTCCTTTCCCACATTTGCCTTTATCTTGAATCCTTCATAAATCCTCAAAAAAAGCTGATTTATTTCCTTTAAATGGTGGTCCACCTCCATCAAGTACATAAACTAAGAGGTGTGTGTAATTGATCATCAGCGTGGCCCAGGTCCTAAGATGCTGGGAACAAACAGCGAGACAAGGAGCCTCTGGATTAGCGGGGGCTTCCTCATCACGTCAAAAGTGCAGTTATCCAGAAACTTTCAAATACATAAACAGAAGTCAAGGCAGGTGTTGTGAAAGTCCTTGACAAGTTAAGTTCCACACCTGCACAAATCTTCCTGTGTTACTAGTAGGAATGAAGTGAAGACTATGTCATGAGTCATATTGGTTGCTTTTCTCTTAGCAATTTCCCCAAAGAAGAAGAAAACGTCTTGAGTTCCACCTCTCACTGCACATGTGGGTTTTTTTTGTAAAGTGGGATAATTTAAAAGATAGTAATTATTAAGTCATATTAATTTTAAACTATAGGCTTTATGTACTGTTCTCAATGTAAATATTTTTGGTCATTGAAAAAAGTAGGTTAGCCTTCATATTTCTGTTTTTAACATCTTCTATTGAGACCCAAATGTTTGGGAAATTAAAACTTGGACAAATGAGTGATTTCCACATGCCCTTCTGATATGTCGTTAGCTACGTTTACATTTCCTCAGCACATTACAATTTTCTGTCATTCTCTGTGTTGTCAGAATGCAAACCAGGTATGTAGTGCCTTGCAAATGTATAATCCAGCAATGTACAGCTTGCTTATTGCCTTTTAAAGTGTCTTTTTGAAGTTCTGTTAAATCCAGGTTGTGCTAGCAATGCTAAATATCTTTACTTTTTCCCCCTAAGTCTCTTGTAGCACATACTCTGACTAACGCTTCTAGAAACCACTTACATGTGCAGGAAGCATCTGCTTAATGAGCTCTAGAAGTTGGGATTTGCTTCTAGGGCCTCAATAGTTTTTTTGCATCTCTTTCTTAGCTTCATCTTAGAATTTGAAAATGTTTTTAAATAAAAGGTGTGGCAATGAAGCATTTTAAAAATACTTAACCATTCACTTTAAATTGTTCCTCCTCAAAGAATCAAAGACACAGACTTAATAAACACCCTATTTAATTACTCTGTCGTGATGAACTAGGGTGCCCTTGCAAAGGACTTTATAAAGGGTTCTGGGAGAATGGTGTTGGGAGAGAGCAAGCTTTAGAAGGGTGACCAGCAAAATCCCCCAAGAAGTGAGGGAAAGGTGCAAAGGGGAGAAATGCGCTAAATAAACCAAATCGTCTTAGGAGCAGCCCTCCTAGTAGACGTTGGAAGTACATATTTGAGGATTGCTCCGTAGACCATCATTGCTCCCTTTGATTCAGATTCCTGTGGCATTTGTCCCCAAAGGGCTAGATTTTAAGCACTTTCCTTGAGACTTTTCTGGACTCCTCCTTTAGTAATGCTAGAGTTCAAGTGATGATTAGATATTTCAGTAATGCTGTGGTCTGGGTAGAAAGGCCTTTAACTTTACTTCAAAGGTCTTATCTCCCACCTAATTATTAAATCCAGGGAAAGCACTTCTGATTGCTTTTGGTGGGATATTTTGGAGGTCTTAGTTTTTGTTAACTTCAGGTAATGTTGGAAGGCCATTGGATGCCACTAATTTGGAGCAACACATTTTACTCATTCAACAAATATATATTCATCACTAACTATGTACCAGGCACTATTCAAGGCACTTGAGACACATCAGTGTTAAAACAAAAATTGTTGGGCCAGGCGTGTTGGCTCAAGTCTGTAATCCCAGCACTTTGGGAGGCCAAAGTTGGTGGATTGCGAGGTCAGGAGGTCGAGACCATCCTGGCTAACACGGTGAAACCCCATCTCTACTAAAAATACAAAAAATTAGCTGGATGTGGTGGCGGGCACCTGTAGTCCTAGCTACTCTGGAGACTGAGGCAGGAGAATTGCTTGAACCCGGGAGGCAGAGGTTGTGGTGAGCGGAGCCAAGATTGTACCACTGCACTCCAGCCTGGATGACAAAGTGTCTCAAAAAAAAAAAAAAAAAATTGTTCCCTTCATGAAGCCTACCTTGATTTTTTGTTTTTTGTTTTTTGAGACAGAATCTCGCTCTGTCGCCCAGGCTGGTGTGCAGTGGCACAATCTTGGCTCACCACAACCTCTGCCTGGGTTCTAGTGATTCTCCTGCCTCAGTCTCCCAAGTAGCTGGGATTACAGGTGCATGCCACCACGTCTGGCTTATTTTTGTATTTTTAGTAGAGATGGGGTTTCACCATGTTGGCCAGGCTGATCTCAAACTCCTGACCTCAAGTGATCTGCCTGCTTCGGCCTCCCAAAGTGCTGGGATTACAAGTAGCCACTGCGCCTAGCCATAAATTGTTAACATAATAAATTTTAAAAACCATATAGCATGTGATTAGTCTGTTAAGCTAAATACTGCATAACAAAATACCACAGACTGGATGACTTAAATAACAGATTTATTTCTATGTTCTGGAGGCTGGAAGCCTAAGATCAAGGTGTCAGCAGGTTTGGTTTCTCCTGAGGCCTCTCTCCTTGGCTTGCAGACAGTCGCCTTCTCACTGTGTCCTCGTGCAGACTTTCCTCTGTGTGCGTGCATCCCTGGTGTCTCTCTCTCTCTCTCTCTTCTTCTTCTGATTTTTTGATGGAACCAGTTACATTGCATTAGGGCTCCACTCTTATGACCTCATTTAACCTTAATTACCTCCTTCGAGGTCCTAACTCCAAATATTTTCCACATTGGCAGGTTTGGCATATGAAGGGACACAATTGAGTCCATGACAGTAGGTTATTAGGTGATGAGTATTTGGAGGGAAAAATGAAAGTTAGGTCAGGGTAAGAGAGGTTGGAAGGACTGTGAAGGTGGGGATTGCAGTTTTGAACAGGATGATTAGAGTAGACCTCACTGAGCAGGTGGTATTTGAGCTGATTGGAAGGTCAAGTATTTTCAAGTTTTGTTACAACACAGAGACCGGAAGTGGAGGTGGTGCAGTGGAGGCAGGTGAGAGACACAGCGGGGGAAGCCCATGGACCTAGGTTCTGGTCCCAGCTCTGCATCTTTCTGGTAGTGAAACTTCCAGATAGTACTTTGGGCTTTTGGGGTTCGGTTTCCAAATATGCTGGTCTGTGTGAACTTGTGATTCTAGAATGCATATTCTTAGAGGGATATGAGCTGGAAAACAGACTTTGTGCTTGAGTATTGGCTTGGAGTAGGTGGTAGGCAAGGGGTGATAGATGTTTGCTTTGGGGATTTATTTTTATCTTTTTGTTTGTTAAGATGGGATGGGCTTAAGGCTCATTCTAATAAGTGTTTCTAATTAGGACCAGATCCTCTTTCTCAAAAGATGGACACACTCAATGTAATGAATCCTAAGTTCCTACCTCATGGACTCTTAAAGGGGGCGAGATGCCTGTGAAAGTGAAAAGTGGTAGGAAGAGGGTGCTTGTCTCTTCCTTTTTGATCTTTCCTTGGTAGTATGTAGCCCAGTGGGGAAGGCCTGGTACAGTGTGGCTGAGCCACAGAATCCATCCCATAATATGCCAGTTAGCTCTGTCCTGACCACACACTCCACAGCAACCAACTATGCTAAAAATGGAAAAAGGACATTAGTGGAAAAACTGGTGAAATCTGAATAAAATGTAGAGTTTAGCTCACAGTAATGTGAATTTCTTAGTTCTGACAAATGTACCATGGTTACGTAAGATGCTAACATTAGGGAATTCTGGGTGAAGGATATATGGGAACTCTTGGAACCATCTTTGCAACTTCTGTAAATCTAAAATTATTCCAAAATAAAAACTGTTCTTTAAAGAAAAAAAAAGGTCATTTTGGACTCAGTGATGACTTGGGCTACAGACATGGATTTATTCACCATAATCAGAAGAACAGTGCTAAGTACATGCCCCACTGTTTATGGATTAGTAGTGTCGTCGTATAATAAGGCAAGAGTGGTCTATCTCTAGTCTGAGCTTTTCTGTTTGGCAAATTCTCCATCCTCACCTTACCAACACACCCCAGGTTTTTGCTCTGGATATTGCCTCTGACTCATGTTAGTATTCAATATCTTATGGCAGAATAATTGCCTGAAAGCATTATTTCATAATAGGATTAGGTGGGGAGAGTGCTAATAAGTCAGGGAGGCAGTGGCATACACAGGAAAGAAGACATCTAGGGAAACCAAAGAGAAAATGCCCAGAGACTTTGTAGAGGTAGCACTTCTTAAAATATTATAGGTTCAAAAGATTCAGAAGCCCACACTTCTCAGAGTCGTAGGCCCATGGAGTGTATTGTGCGGCTTTGCCCAGGGCCCAGCCTGTTCTGATGAGGTCGTGATCCCTCCGGTTGTTAGCGCAGTGTGATTGTGCATTCCATACTTCGTGAAGTAGCAGGGCAGCTAAGGAGGGGAGTGGCCTTTTATGTATATATAATCCCTTTTTTTCTTTTGACAGCTGCAAATCAGAAGGAGCCCATGAATCTTAATTTTAAAGTGAAAGAGGAGCCTAAGGAAGGGGAGTCCTTAAGCACGACTTTGCCTCGGTCCAGCTATGTGTTCAGCCCGGAATCTGAAGTGTCAGCCCCAGGCGTCTCTGAGGACGCACTAAAGCCCCAGGAAGGGAAGGGAAATGTGCTAAGGCGGGATGTGTCAGTCAAAGCAGCCTCTGAACTTCTCATGAAACTCTCAGGTACTTGATTTATTCGAAAATATTCACATTCTGATAGTTTCACTTGCAGGCCAACTGGACTACTTCCTGCATGGGTTATAATTAACCTAATGGCAGCAATATCGCATTATTGCTGTGAACTCAAGGAATGATCAGATTACTTGGCTTAAATTCCTGTGTTGTGTGTGAGTTTGTTTGTGTATATTAGCTGTGTACCTATCTTATTAAATACAACCTTTTCCTGACTATCACTGCAAATTGTTGGAAACTACTGCTGCATTCTAAGGTGATAGAGGCCATAATTTTAAGTGGGTTCTAATGATGTTCAAAGCTCTTCTGCTAATTGATCAAAATACCTATTCTTCCCTAATAGAGGACCTGGCATTTTGTGTGTATTTATACTATACTCTTTAAGCACCATTACAAATATTTTTCTTAACTTCATAAGCATTTGAGATGGCACTTGAAGTAATTACCAATAGAGTGGCAATAAGAGATTTTATGGATAGAGAATTTTATAATGGAATATTACAATAATCTGTTCTTAAGATTAATGAATCATTCTTTACTAGTATCTGAATGTAATCTCAGCCTATTAAATATAGGAAAAATGGCTTATAATTTGAAATTCATATAGTTTGGATTTTTTTCCACATCATCTCCTATCTGCCCTGTCCTCTCTGAAACAGGTGAAAACATGGTATCTTTTCAATTCAAAGGTAGGACTTTCAGAACATGGAAAAAAAGGGTTATATCAATAATTATACTTGTCAAGTCATATCCCATCCTTAGTTCATTACCTCTTAAGCGTAATTTTTAGAAACTATATTTAAAATGCTAATATGAATCAAAAGCTGTTTTTAGTTTGGAACTTGCTGTGCTTGGAGGATGAAAGCAAGAAGTGCATTAGAGAGACTCCTTTAAGACCTGTAATTTCATCAGCAGTTCTTACTGTGTTTCTGGTTGACTAGTGGGTTGGAAAGTAAGAAATTAACAGTGATTTACTTAGTCATTATATCAGAACGGTTGAAATTCCTGTACTTACCAGTTGGTGGGGTTAAGAATTCTTTCCTTTGATGGTAATTCAAAGCACATTGGAAGTTCAAGGTAACATGATTTGTTATAAATAAAGCATAAGGCAATCATTACATACTTATCATAGCTCCATCTTCCTAAACTTTGCAGAGATAGTATAGTACCTCCTATGCAGATGAGAGGTCTAGTAAGATTGTATTATTTACTATTATAAAAGCTGAACATTTTTATAAAGGGTGTTCAAGTGAACACATTTTTTGTATATTTGAACTCTCCTTCCTATGTTAAATGATGTAGAGTAACACATTTGTTGTTTTCTGATAAATTCAAAGAGGTCACATAGCTCTGATTCTTCCTCCATAGCATACACTTTCACATTCCAGTGACTTGAAGTCTTATCCAACAGTGACCCCTGTCTCCCTCGTTATGGTCAGATTCCAGTATATAATATTTCTAGTTCAGAGTTTGCTGTGCAGCAAGTGTTGTAAGCAAAAGAGACTTTGGTATCACCAAAAGATAATATGCAAAAAATGAGATTTCAGGAGTGATGTTCTTTAAGGAAAAATATTTTATCTTAATCCTTTTGCATGATGAGATTTGAGACACACGTATGGAATTATTTTATAGATAATAATGATATCTCCCAAACAGAATATGTCTATCAGCCATGAACATTGAAAGATATTTGTGGACAGCAGTGGTCCTTCTAAATGTGTATGTTGCCTTTGGTTGAGCACATGTGCTATGTGGTTCAGCAATAGTTGAATGGATGACATGGTCCTGTTTCCAAAGGGCATCTGCCCCTGCTTCGTGATGTGGAAATGAAAACTTGTTTGAAGACTGACAACAATTTTTTTTTGCCGTGAAAAAAAAAAATCCTCAAATCCTCAGCATTCTGTGTGCAAACGACTTAGGTCAAAGAGATATGCATCACAGTCCTGATCTTTAGATGCTGTGGTCTAGTCAGAAGTAATCCAGGGCAGTGGAATCCATCTATGTGATTTGCACTTGGAACTTAGTACTGCCATACTCTAATGGCCATGGTCAGGTAAACTGGAAAGAAGTTTTTTAGTCATAACAATAGGCATGTGACTTGAAAGCAAATATCTTTTCATTCCCAAGCCACAAGTTAAAGAGGACTCACCCTTAATTAGGTTTAAAGTGGATATTAGAGTTTCTAATCACTGATAGAGCAGTGCTCTTGCAAGAATGAAGTTGTTAGGAAAAAACTTTGTATATTCTTTCCTCAAATTGTAATTTTAACAATTTCACAGTTCATTTCCTGAAAGACATCCAAGTAAAGGACTTGTGTCTTCAGATACCCTTTTCCATGATCATTTCTGTTGCTCTGTAGACAAGAGTAATTCATTTCCCAAAATGTCTGTGTAGTTGGTCAGGGCTGCACCACCAGTTTGCCTCGGCTGATACCCCCAAAGCTTTGTGGTAGCTGTTCTTGTGAACAGGAGTTCCTATTGCTTCCTGCCTTGCTTGTTTTCATTTGTAGTCTTCTGATATGCTGGGGAAAATCCTTTTGGTCAGGAAGAGTTGGGTGAGGATAATTAGTCATGCAAGGATGATGCATGGGGCACACTTTTCCTTGTTTCAGTTTTGACCCAAGGAGTAGTTAAGATGTGGAATAAAAGGAGTTTTCATCCCTGTTATTTATTCCCTTGAGGTTAGAAGTGGTGACCTATAGTTTAGACCCTTTCAGTCTTCTCATTGAATTACTAAGAAGAAACTAGTCCACAATTTTGGCTGCTTCATTTTCAGTTTTAAATTAATTTATGTTAACTCCTTAAGGATGGAGACTTGGCACCTGCCCCAGTCACATATCATGTGGAGCTTTTCTATGTGGAAAAACCTCTGTAGATATATTGTTTTCCAAATTGACATTTGTGTTTTACGGGAAAAACGCAGATGAGCTAGAGTAGGCTCAATTTTTCATTAAGTGTGCGTTTGGGAAAATCTGAGCTTTCTTCCTTCCTGTGGTTCAAGTTCTATTTCCAGTTGTTAATTGGGAAGTTGAGTGCCTGACAGCTGGGCCAAGTAAATTGATTGCCATAAAGAAAGCAACACACTCTGAGGAAAGCACTGGAAGTCTGCGACTACTTGTTGTTATGTGACACAAGGCAGCCAAAATAATCAGACTTTTTGCTAAGCATATGGTTGCCAAAGATAATTCCCAGAAGTCTTCATTCAAGGAGGCCGAATTCTCAGTGTTCAACATAGAGGATGTATAACATTAGATAGTGTAGAATATTTAAAGTACCTTTAAACTCTGGTTTTGCAATATCTGGTCACCTTGAAAACTTATGGGATAGCTGTGTTATCACAGATATGATGTAATGCTGAGAGTGACACAAAATTTTGTCTGCTTTGTCTCTGCTTTGCTTTAAGAGAAGTAGCTAGATGCAAAATGATGAAGATAAATGCCCTCTTCTTTCTTTGGGGAGTTACATGTTTCCATGGGAATGCATATATAAAATGTATCATGCATGGTTGGGTGAGCCTAGAAGTAGTAGATAAGAATGCCATTTAAAAATATGAATTCCACACACAAAAAGTACATAGTTGGAAAGCTGGAGTTATACAGAGAAACATTAATGAAAAATTAAATATTTGCATTTCTCTAGTGTGGTAAATAAAACTTTATATTAGAACTTAATTTGAAACAAGTTTATTGGTTTTAAAAATTTCTGTGCTCACCCAGAGGATTTATATTCATTTGTGGTTTATATTCATTTATTCCTGCCTAGTCCTGGAGAGCCATATAAATTATAATTGCCTCTTGTATAGGAATCCAAGCAGACCCTACATTTGAAATAACATAGTGATGTGTGGTTTAGGGTGTCACGTAAATGAGATGGAGCTTCAGCTAGGAGATATTTAGAAACAGGTAAACTTGAGTAGAATGACATTTTAAGGTGAATTTAATCTCTAAGGTGAACTGAAGTGGAGAAGAAAATAAGTCACTTTATTAACAGTTGTAATTAGGGCCCCTTTGGTTATAGATAACAGAAACCCTCTTCAGATAGTTTTGGCAGGATAGAAGAATTTAGTAGAAGATACGGGTTTTGGATTGGCTTATTGATCCCAAGGGCAGGGATGCAGTGGGGCATCGGTTTTCCACTGCAGCCAGAGTCTGGAGGCCCATATGGAACCCAGGAACCACCCCCTTCCCCACCTCATTTCTGCTTCTCTCTGGACCGACAGATGGACTTCTTCTGTTACCCAGGCCACATGATGGAAAGGGGGAATTGCCAGCAGCTTCTGAGTTTATGCTTTGCTCAAAAGAATAGCCAGACAGAAATGTCTTTATCCCAATCCTAAATCCCAACCAAGTGCCTTGGCTTCAACTGGGACCCGACAGTGGAAACTTCTCTATTTAGAGATGAGGGCATGTTGAGCAGATGTGGCTGCTGCCGTTAGCCATGTGGGATTGCTGGGAGGGAGGGCAGGAGGGTGAGGTGCGAACAGGAAGATAGAACAATACATACGAACCACAAAAGGTCCAGGAATAATTATGGTGGTTGCTGTCATTTCAATATTGAGTGGAAATGTGTTGGGTGCTGTTTATCTTTCCTTCCTAAAAGGGTCTGAGAGAAAAACATCTCTAATTTGCTAAGGCAGTGCTTCTCAAAGTGTGGTCCCTAGACCAGCAGAATCATCATTAAATTTGTGGGGATAAGGAAGTGTTAGACATGCGAATTCTTGAGCCCTATCCTGGACCTAGTTGAAACTCTGGGGTGGGAGTCCCGCTGTCTGTTTTCACAAGCCCCCCTAGCGATTCTGATAGCTAAGGTTTGAGAAGCACTGTGCTGAGGAAATGGTTAATTGGAAAAATAAGTTTCATCCATCTGAGAAGAATGCTTTAGGTTGAAGCTGACAGAGAACAAAGCTCTATTAAATGTACATTTTACTTTTTAAAAAGAACCATCTCTCTTCCGTGAAGATTCTTTTTAATTTATTATGAAATAATGGTATCT